CACGTGTGCATATGCACATGCAATTTCGTGTGCTCTTTCAAGAGGCTCAAGGAGCCCCTGCTGTGTGCCCAGCTGTGCACTGTGTCTGTTGAGCACTAGGTCAGGTAAATGAGGGCTTCAGCATTGTTTTGGGGACGTGCTCTGTCCTTGAGCTCTGGCACAGATACAAAACCCCAGTGACGACCTGACCTATTTCTTGTTCCTGAAGCTCCCATCTTTTCTTATGGATGGTCCTAGAAGGAGTCTGACTGCCAGGGTGACCGCATCATTTATCATCCAAACTGGGACACTCCAAAAGCAAAGGAGGACAGCCAGCATCCTCACCGGGCTGCCGAGTGCATCAGGGCTGCCCTACTTTCCGCCAGGAGCAGAGGCGTTGAGAGTCCTACTGCCAAACGTGAGGCCAAGCTGCCCCCGCTAGAGGAGACCTGGCACGGCGACATGGCAGGCTGGTCATTCATTCATTCAGCCCACCATCCTCTTTCTAGAAAACAGGTGGAAGGCCGGGCCCTGGCTTCTAGATGGGCAAGCTGACCACTGATTCACATTTGAGGAAGAGAAGCGACTTATTTCAGCATGTACAAAGCCACGGCAAGGAGTCTGAGGTCACCTGAGAAGCCCCAGGCTGCCTCTGTGGAACCTGTTTTGGAGAAAGGCAGAGACGTCTGCTTTCTCTCCACAGCAGATCCACAGGTGGCAGCTGGACACATCTGTGAGTGCCCAGCATGGCACATGGAGGATGGGAAGTCCCCTTGAACACCTGCTTCCAGAATAAGAGGGGGCTGCTGGGGGGCCCAAGCCCATCTAGGCTCCCTGCTCAAGGCTGATGTGACAAGTCTGGGAATTCTGGGGCCTCTTGTCAGCTGAGTGGGGCCAGGCGTGCTGTGTGGACTCATGTCCAATGACCTGTTGTGCCTGTGGCTCCACGTGAGAGCACCTGATGCCTCCCCAGACCCGTGTCCACCTGCAGGACGGGCTCCTCACGGGAGCAGAACCGCTTAGACATTCCTGGCTCTAAGAGGGCAGGGGTCCCAGCTTGGCTGAGTGACCTGGGGAAAGTTACTCACTCTCTCTGGGCTCAGTTCTCTCATCCACAGATGGTCACTGTGTCCACTGCGCTGGCCTCTGGCAAGGACTCAGATGACACCTGTAAAGGCAACTGGCATCTCTTCGTGGAGCAGGTGACCTGAGCCCACTTCACTGCACAGACAGAGTTTACCTGCACAAGGTGTCCTCCTGGGCCCAGAGTGACCCAGTAAGACAGCGGGGAGCTGTAGTATCCCCCACTGTGTAGCTGGGACCTTGCACAAGGCTGGGGAAACTTCAGGGCCTGGCACAGCCCACGCCTGGCAGCAGCCCGGTATGCAGGTTTGCGTTGTGTGCAATATGGGGGCAGGTTCATTCTTCCCCACAGCATATGCAGTGACAAATGGGGCCCAGTCCAGTGTCCTGGGGGCCATGTGCTGTTACTCAGTCCCCCTGGGCCTGCTCTTCATGGTGGCAAATTGCCGCTCCACCCAGTGTCGGTCTGAGGGCTGCCGCCTCCTGGATGCTCCCCGACTCTCCACGTCGGGGCAACGGGCTCGGTGCAGTTGGCCGTCTGCGAGCTCTTTTTACTGGGGCTGGCACAGGTGCTCTGTGAGTCCATGAGGGGCAAGTGGGAGAAGCTTGGGGCACAAGGGAAAGGCGAGGCCAGCACCCAGGTCTCCCAGCCATCGGAAACCTGCCCAGGAAGGGGCTGGAGGAGAGCCGATGTGCCAGGAGCCAGGCGGTCGGCCCCTCTTCCCGTGAGCAGAGGTCTCAGTCGCCAAGTCCCTCCACCCTTCCAGCCCTGCAGCCACCACCGCCTGCCTCCCTCCCTCCAGTTCCCAATGCCTGAGGTTTCCCCCCAGCCTTGTTCTCCTGGCAAGTAAGGCTCACCTGGGAAAGCTCCCCACANGAGGTTTCCCCCCAGCCTTGTTCTCCTGGCAAGTAAGGCTCACCTGGGAAAGCTCCCCACACGTGGCACAGGCTGCAGCATGGTGCCCGGCAGAGGATGAAGGAACAGCCCCTCCTGCCAGCGCTCGCTCCTGCCCTTACCCCGCTGGAACAGGCTTCGGAGCAGGCCCGCCGCGGAGCTCGGCCCACATGTGCAGCGCAGTGCCTGGGTGCAGGCTCCTCCTGCCGGCTGCTGCTCCTTCCCAGCCCAGCCATCCCTGAGGGGCCTTCCCTGACCGGCTCAATGGACCCACCCGGCATAGCGGGGAGCTTCTGTGGCCCTGATTGCTTGGGTTGGCTGAGCAGACCTATTCTTGTTTGTCGCTCATGGGACAGTGGGGACTTACCCGCCTTGGTCATGTTTCCTCCATCACTCGTCCACGGTGTGGCACAGAGTCCCCACTCAGTAAATACCCGTGGACTGAATGAATCCACCCACTGGATGTGGCATTGTCCTTACAGATGGGCAGGGAGAGGACTTGCGTTTACGCCACACGCTCCATCACCTCGGGATCCCCAGCTGCAAGGTGGCAGCCCCGGGCGAGGACGAGGCCTGTGTTCCTCCCGCTGCTGCTTGCCCAGGTTCCTGCTGAGTCCAGCAGGAGCGACCCAAAGGGTCCCAGACAGTGACCCAGGAGTGGGGTGACTCGGGGAAGGCAGCAGTGTCCGAGTCCAGCCCCAGGCAGGACATTCTGGAATGTTTTTGTTTGTTATTTGTTTTTTAATGAAGGTGCGATTCATATGACATTAAATGAACTGTTTGAAAGTGCACAGTTCAGTGGCGTTTAGAACCCTCAGTGTGTGCAGCCGTCACTCCTATCTGTTCGTCTAATTTTAGAACACTTTATCACCCCAACAAAGAAACCCTGTACCCACCAGCAGTCACCTCTCTTTCTCTCCTTCCCAGCCCATGGCAACCATAATCTACTTTCTGCCTCTGTGGATCTCCCCTTTCTGCACATTTTGTGCAAGTGGGGTGGTATAATGTGTGGTCCTTTGTGCTGGCTTCTGTCACTCGGCGTGGTGTTTGAGATCCGTGCATGTCGTAGCACGTGTACTGCCCCCGTGTGTGCGTGGACCACGTTGTGTTTGTCACTCATCCGCTGATGGACATTGGGGTCGCTTCCAGCCTTTCAGCTATTGTGAAGAGTGCAGCTGTGAACATTCATATGTAAGGGTTTACATACCTGTTTTTAATTGTATGGGGTATATACCTACCTGTGAGTGGAATTGGTGAGAAAGTGCCAGACTTTTTCCACATTCTGGAATCGTTACCTGTGAGGTCAGTGGAAGCTGGAGCTTCCCGGGGCTGGGACAGGAGCCTGGGCTGGAGCAGGGGCACTGGCCTCCCGGCATCTTCTTTGCAGCCAGCATTCGATGCACAAAGCCCAGCTCCTGTGTCCCTCTGCACTTCCC